CGATGATGATGATGACTCTAATCAAAATTTAAATATTTTGCATAATGCACAAAGTGTACAAGTACAGTCTAGTATATTCAGCCATGATGTGTCTACCTCTGACAATAATTTATCTAATACAAATGATATAATTTACTCTAAAGTTTCACTAGATAAATCAGCAGAGATAACACGACCAAAGACGAGTCAAAGACTCGAAGCTCAGCTTTCTCAAAATTCTAATTCCTCACGTACAATAAAAAAAAGTGTTTCTTCTGATAGAAACAAAGTCCCATGTCTCAAAGAGACGCATCCTACAGGCCTGCAAAGCAATAATATATCTAGAAGGAAAAACGATCTTGAAAAATTAATGAAAGACACTAAAAGATTAGCTTCTATGCTTCTATCTTTGCTCAGTAAGCTGAAAACATCTTTCTGCAAGAGCTTTACCTGCTTTTAAAGCCATATCAAGCTACTTTTCAGTCTTTATGAGTCGCTTTTCAAGTTTATTGCATTTTTTTTTAAGTCTTCCTTATTAGTCAAGCTAGATGGGCTTTTGCTGAATGTTGGAATAATATAAGACTTACTATGTAATTTCATTCGGAATTGGTTTTTATTTGGGTCAAGAATACCTTGAACTTTTCGAATCTATATTATACCTAAACATAACATTGATTCAGATTCACCATTATCAATACATGTAAAATTTCCAGTAGCTGTAACAGTTTTACCATCCTTATCCTTTATACTGACTGGTACATCTGTAAACCACCTTAACGATTCGGTAATATGTTTAGAGTTACCTTTTATATCGAAATCAGATGGCTTGTCAGCTTTCCATCCAAGGGCATTAATTGTTGCATCATTTAAGACCCCAAATTCACTTCCATTATCTAAAAAAGATTCAGAAATAGATAAATCGTTTATACTAGCATTCAGATATTGTAGAGATGAGAACCACTCATCTGATTTTGATTCTTCTTTCTGAACTGTATGAGATTAACATATTTTTCATATTGCTAGTGAAAGCTTAAACAATAGCTGATCATATATTTTAGGGTGGTTAGTCACTAAATCAGAAGAAGGATTATCAGAGTTACCAGATAAGTTTTCATTTACTGATACTCGTTTTTTTTTCAGAATCATCATACCATATATTATTTTCTTCATTATACCCACTATTTTCATTATTAGCTGAAAAGTTATAATTTATTGGTTGAAAAGGATAATATCGTT